GATTGAAGTAATAATATATAGTATAAAACTGGGTTTAAAAGGAATAGTTTAAGATGAAGCTTCACTTCAGTTATATTGTGGCTCAGGCCACGGACAATCTTAAAAATGAGTATCTTTTCCTTTGGGATATCTATCTCCTTCATCCTTGAGTAACAGATCTCCCAGAACAGAGTCCATGACTCAGTTTATCTCCATGGGGGGTGGGGATGCATACTATATTAGAGTAAAACATCAGTGTAAGACGTTAGACTGAACCTGTGAGTTTAAGATCAAGTGCTCTAAGAAGTCTGCTTAATAACCAGCAAATATAGTACACGTACTTAGGTACAGAGTTTTATTTCTTACAGGGTCTCAGGCCACAGCCTGAGTTGGGGAGCAATGCTTGGTGAAGGTCAGGCTGTCACTCATCCTGACTGACGTCTGATCCATGTAGACTTCCTGTCTCTGCCATGGACAGGCACTCCCACCCCTGCCACTCTTTCCCAGCTTGATTTTTCTCCACAGTGCTTCCTGCCACTTGACATTCTAGCTACTCTACTCNAAAAAAAAAAAAAAGAAATTCCTTCAAAAGGAACCTTTGCTTTTTCAAGAAGATAAACGTGGTCTAAAACTGGAAGCATGTTATTAGCACTTTAAACTGGATGGAAAATGTGGCATTTGTGAGGAGTCTCTCCAGACCACTTAATCATCCCAGGAAACAACAATCAAGATGTGAACGCGATTTACATGCAAAGGAAGGGAAGACTGCCTCGCTCAGAAAACAGGCTCAGAAAACAGGCTCTAGCTACCTCGTATGCCACCCCGACAGCCCAAGTGTGGCCCGGGTATTGTGATCCTTCAATTTCCTGTTATAACATGATCATGCAGGTTTTTCCTCTAAGTTAATTAAATTAAAAGTTAGTTCAAAAAACTTTTCACATGCTCTTGAAGGAAGGGTAAACTGACATTTTTAGAAGATAATTTGGTAACATCTATTTAAAATACATACACATTGTGAACATCAATGCCATTTCTTCTAAAAGTGTATCTTACAGATATACTCACCACATCATGACAATGTATGTCACAGGATCTTGCTGTAGTCTTGTAATGAAAGTAACCTCCACATGCATTGGTAAGAAACAGTGAAAACATATGCAGCGGTTTTTAAAAATGAGGGACACCCATAGGTTCTGACTTGAAAGACCTCAGGATATACTAAGTACAAAAATGTCTAGAACCA